GCTTTCGGTTGCCGCAGATCTTCGGGGATTTCTGCTTGGTTTGGCGAATTTTTTTCCCACGAATTCTGCAAGCATTCTGTTTTGATCTGCTGTGTCTCTGAGGTTAAGTTTCGGTTTCTTCAAATCACCATTGGGCTCACTATTTGACCCTGTACCAATTCCACTGCGACCATTATCATTTCCACTGCGGCCATTATCATTTCCACTGCGGCCATTATCATTTCCACTGCGACCATTATCATTTCCACTGCGGCCATTATCATTTCCACTGCGACCATTATCATTTCCACTGCGGCCAATGCGATTTCCACCGCGACTAGTACCATTTCTACCAGTACCAGGACCATTCCCACCGCGTCCAATTGTTCTACCACTATTACCGGTACCATGATAACCATTTCCACCAGTACCGGTACCATTTCTACCAGTACCATGATAACCAATTCCACCAGTACCATTTCCATTGGTACTAATTCCACCAGTACCATTTCCATTGGTACCAGTACCATTTCTACCATGCCCAATTGTTCTACCACTATTACCAGTACCCTGGTAACCAATTCCACCAGTACCGGTACCATTTCCACCGGTACTATTCCCACCAGTACCATTTCCACCAGTACCAGTACCATTCCCACCAGTAACATTACCATCAGTACCAGTACCATTCCCATCAGTACCATTCCCACCAGTACCAGTACCATTCCCACCAGTACCATTTCCACCAGTACCAGTACCATTCCGATCAGTACCATTCCCAGCAGTACCGGTACCATTTCCACCAGTACCAGTACCATTCCCACCAGTACCGGTACCATTTCCACTAGTACCATTTCCACCAGTACCAGTACCATTCCCAGCAATACCGGTACCATTTCCACTAGTACCAGTACCATTCCCACCAGCACCAGTACCATCATCATCATCTTCCTCACCGGATTGATTCGGATTTCCTCCGCTGCTACTACCTCCTCCTCCTCCTCCTCCTCCTCCCCCTCCAAAAAATGGAATAGCGATATTTCCAACATTGTTTCCAAATGATATATTCCAGTTGGGTGGACCTATGCTCAAGTCGATATTACAGAACGAAGTGCGATTAGTTGAAACAGATCCCCCAGTATTACGATGGATTCCACATCTAAAGTTGAAGGCATCAACGCCTGGGGCAGTGTTAACATCAAACCGGGTTTCTCTACAACCAAGTCCAGTTATATCCACGTTACCAATGTTAGCTGTAGCGGTAGTCTTAACACGGGCGTTAACTCTTGTTCTGTTGCTTTCTCTGTTATCGATACCTGTGATAGACACATTTGCGGCGTTCACCTCGGCCAACGTACCGTCCATTGTCATTGTAGCCTTTTTTCCTGTTTTTTTTCCAACAACTTTTGCATTTGCAATATTTGCATTCACTAACCCACCCTTTATATGAATGTCCGCTTCGTCGCTTTCTTCTTTTTCTCGGACCTCTGCCTGTAGAGCGTTTACTGACGCTAGATTGAAATCAGCCTCGGCTTCCACACGTTTTTCATCTGCACCAGGCCATTGTATTCCAGCTCTACCTCGTGCGCTAAATTGTCCAATATTAGCGTGAACTCCACCAATTGATGTTTTCTGTTCGTCGGTTTGAACTGTGAGATCAGCTTTAGCATCGACCGCCTTGGCTGCAACTTTCCCGCTTGCCGACATCTTTACAGACTTGGATCCAA